CTCAACTTATGACTTTCATAATCCACTCGTAACTTTAATATTCAATATAGCTCTGTTATATAGATATTTGGATAAATAATTAAATATTACTATTATCTTTATAGTATTATTAATAATAGTAATAAAAATTAATGTTAAATTATAATAAATATAAATTAATAATTAATTCATATTTTAATAATAAAAATTAAATAATAAAAATATAAAGAAAATTAACTAAAAGCGCATGAAATTAATAAAAACTAATTTTTACAAGGATATGAATAAATTATTTCAGTTTACAGTAAATAATAGTTTATACTGAGGAATAGGTGTTACTAATGAGAAACTATTTCTTTGAAGAAGAATTCCATCAAGTTCACAAGCTTCTAACTCAGTAGGACCTTGTTCGTTAAGGGGCTGCGAGAACTAAAGTTAGTAAAGGTCATAATGACATTGAGCTTTGCCAACAAGTTCTTGTAACTTCCACTTAAGAACCAACTTGAATTATTAGTTGAGTACTTTTAGATTCTTGTTGATTTACAAAAGTTCAGTATTCTTGGTCAACTGCCAACGATTTGAGTATAGAAATCATTTTCCAATTCATAAATCTCTCAATAAAAAATTTCTTCTATCTTTTCACAGATAATAAAATTTTTATACTAACAATATTACAAAAATGAAATATCTATTGACTATTATTATTATTATTATTATTATCAAATAAACAATAAAATTAACAATCGATGCTATTATTAATATTATTATCTATAATAAACAATGAAATTAACAATCGTTACTGTTATTATAATTATTACTATTAATCGAAAATTGTTATTAATAATGGAAAATGATGATTAATAGAAAAGTATTACCACTGAATAATAATGTCAGTAATTATATTGAATGAATGGTCGCGAAACTATACATTGATCATAATTTTCATTGGAGCGAAATTCATGCTTGTCATTAATTATTTCTGAAACACTATTAATTATTTACCTAAAACGTTGAATGAGATTTCGATTATATAAAGGTATTGTGATGAGAGATAATTTATGCCAATGAATGACACGTTTTAATATATATATATATATATAATGAAATTCTGCAAAATTAATTAATAACTCAATGAATTCTTAATATATATATATGTATAAGGATTCAAAGGAGAAAAAAAATATATATATAAAAAATCAACTTTCTCGTAGAGGAAGCAAAATTTTGCTTTTCTATCTAAATTTTTATTTTTTAAATAAATTATTCAATAACTAGCGAAATTAAACAAAAATTATTATTTATTAAATTAACAAAATTATTATCAATAATAATTTAATTTATTAGAATATTATTACATATTAAATGATAATAATGAAAATTGGATTATACGACTTTTTCCGACTTTTTTCAAAAATACGACTGTTATCGACTTATTTTAATAAAATGCGACATTTTTTTTTTCATTTGAAAAGAAAATGTAAATAAAATACATTTTTTTAGTATAAAATGTAGATCTTCTTCAGATCTTCTTCAATTCAATTATTTAACAAATTTTGAACTAAAATGATTCTTCACTAAATTAATTTTTTTTAATAATTTTAATGAAATACATCACAAATTCAATTATATCAAAATTACTTTTTCAATTAAAATTTTTATGAAATTTAACAATTGTTTATAATTTAAAAAAAAAATATCACAATAAAATTGAATTATTTTTTAAAAATTTCAATTCAAAATAAACTAAAATTCAATTATTACCCGAAATTTTAATTCAAAATTAATTAAAATTCAATAATTATCAAAAAATTTTCAATTTAAAATTTACCAAGTTTTCAATTTAAAATGAAATAAAATTTGATTATTTTCTAAAATTTCTATTCAAAATTAATTATTTAGATTTTGAATCAAAAATGAACTTAAATTAAATTATTATCCAAAATTTCAATTAAAATTCAATTATTTCCCAAAATTTTCAATTCAAAATGAACTGAAATTCAATTATTACAAGAAATTTTAATTCAAAATCAATTAAAATTCAATAATTATCAAAAATTTTCAATTTAAAATTTACCAAGTTTTCAATTTAAAATGAAATAAAATTCGATTATTTTCTAAAATTTCTATTCAAAATTAATTATTTAAATTTTGAATCAAAAATGAACTTAAATTAAATTATTATCTAAAATTTCAATTAAAATTCAATTTTTTCCCAAAATTTTCAATTCAAAATGAAATGAAATTCAATTATTTTCCAAATTTAAAATCAAATAAAATTTAATTATTCTCAAAAATTTGAATTCAAATTTAATTGAATTTTCAATAATTTGAATTTAAAAGCATCTAAAATTTAATTATTTCTAAAATTTTCCAGCGAAATTTTTTTTTTTTTGAAATTTAATAATTTCAATTATAACTCTAAGGAAATTCAATTATTTTTAACTATTTTAATAATATTCTTTGAAATTTCAACTATCTGAAACCATTTTTCAATTAAAAATGATTTTCAAATTATTGTATTTTGTCCGCATTTTCTAATAAATTTTTAGTGAAATCATTTAAAATTTTAATTAAAAATCACTTAAAGTTTCAATTAATTTCAAAAATCTCAATTTTACATCTTTGAAAATTCAATTAAATTAAAAAAATGTTTTGCAAAAATTGTTTGATAAATCATTTTTACTTCTGTAAAATTTAATAATTGTTTGAAAATGAACAATATCTTTTGAAATTTAATAATTTCTAAAAATTTCAACTTTAACCCTTCGAAAAGGATTATTATTAAAAAAAAAAATTTTTATTTAAAAATCTGTAAAATATTTTTGTTAAAATAAAAAACAAATCCACTTTTTTTTGGAATATAAATCGACTAAAACGACTTTTTTGTGACATTAAGTTGATTCGAGGCCTGTGTTTTTATAATTAATATTTAATAGGTATTCGTTGACCCCTGGTACCTTAAAAATAAATTTTTTTCAAATTACTATCTTGTACGAAATTTCCTGGCGCATCTTTTTTCTCATCATAAATTTTTTGTATTTGTATACAATTTTTGAATCAATATACAACCTTAAAAAAAAATTTCGTTGGTAAACGTTGTGTACTTCAGCTTCGTGAATTGAATTTTCGAATTTGGAATTTTAAAGAAACTTATTCCGAAATTTGGAAACACAATTATACAACTTTGGCAAAAATGAGAAAAAGAATTGTCAAAATTTGATACGTCATAAGATTACTATTCAAAAAAAACACGTGAAATCAGAAAAGGCCAACTTAGGACAGAAGGACAGACCAAGCATTTTATTATTATATAATTTTTATATTTTTAATTTCATGAATGTGAAATTTGATTTTTTTCGAGTAAAAATTAAAAAAATAGTAAAATACTTTTCTATCGTTTAACTATTCGTATAAAGTGAAGAAAAATGAAGATAGAATACTTTAATTTTCAATGCGCGATTTATCAAACTGATCAATATTATTGGCGAGGGGAAAAAAAAATTGATAGTGCTTCTTCTTCTTCTTTTTTTTTTTATCTTGTCGATACAAATTAGCTTTTGTTGATGTATACAGATTTCACATTTAATTGAAGCAAATAATGCATTGTTGGCAAATTCGTACGTAGATATATAATTAAATCCCTTCTCTCAACCCTTCAGGTAGACCTAAATTATATTATTGCTCACATTGCATTCTCTACGGATCTTAATTGGAAATCACAATCGCGTCACATGAACATTAACATGCTGCTTGGTAAATTCAAGCATATTAGAAATGTTGCTTTAAATTTACCGGTTTACAACATCCCCTTTATGAATTCCAAGAATTCCCACACAAATTTATTGTAATAAATAAATATTTTATTTTCTATTAAAATATTTAATTTTCTTTTATACTAAATATTCATTTCTATTAAAATATTTATTTTTTTAATGAGAAAAATAAAAATTAATTATGTGTGGCTAATTATAGAAACGGAAATTGAATGGATTAAAAAATGTAATGTAACAGATGTCAATCATTGATTTTATATGAGGGACAATATTTATTAATTTTAATGAAAGATTAGAATCGACATATATATATATTTCTTCGCGTGTCACTTTATATAGGTAATGTACGTTTAACGTTCTACTGAGCAAATATTTAATGAGTGGAAACATTAATTTTTTTTTTGCCATTGAATTAATGAATACTAATGAGCCATGGATTTTGCAATTTAATTTATCTTTGCCCCTAATTCCACTTGTGGAATTTCCATGGGACTTTTTTTTTTTTTTTTTTTGTAAAGTTGTTTCAATTAAATAAAATAAATTCTGGATATAAAGCGTGAAAATCTGAAATTTATGAATTAACTTTTTTTTTTTGGGTGAAAAAAAAAAAAATTTTCGACTTGGCCAGGAGTAAGAAAAATCTTAATACCTCATTAAATCCACTAATTGTCGGACTCTTAAAGTCATGAAAAGAATAAGGGTCTGTAATTAAGAAAGTTCTACAGTTACTCGTTAATGTAGGTCTCTAATTTTTGTTAAATACTTTACTTTTTTTTTTCTTTGTACTTTTGGATTTTCATACAGATTCTCTTGATTAAAAAGATACAGTAATATTTTTAATTTATTAATTACTGTTCTTTTTTAATTTTTTATATTTTTAATAATTTATAGTTAATTTAATAATTTTTGTCATTTAATACTTTCCGTCAATTAATTTGGTAATTAATTAATTAATTAATAACGTTAATTGTTTATTACATTAATTAATAACATTAAAATTTTTTTATATCAAATAATTTAATTTCAATATTCGAAAATTTTGAGAAAAATATTTTGTAATGAGTCTCTAAGAAATTTTATAAAGATTTAATTAGAATTGTTAATGTAACTATATAGATATTGTAATTATATTATAAGAGGATAAATATCGAGAATCTGATTGGGAGAACTTGAAAGAACCTCGAGATATATGTGAAAGCATGTGGAGGGGAAAAAACATATGATCTCCCAGACTCAATATGTAATCAGTTTGTCGTTCGTAGTCTATAGTGACGATTTAGTGTTTTCATCATGTAAAAATGTAAGTTGAGTAAAAAATACCATTTGTTTCTTGATTTTTATTTTATTTGTTTACAATATAGTTGAAATTATTTTTTTAAAAATTGCACCAATTAATTGTTAATTAAAATTCAAATTCTTTATAATTATTTATATTTTACTAAATTATTATTTTATTTATTTTATTATTAATTGTAATTAATAATATAATATTTAATTATTATTAATTATAATTAATAATAATAAAAAAAAAGTTATTGATAATTATCAAAATTTATTAATTTATTACGGAAAAAAAACTTTATCTGGAACAGCGATATGTTTTTCTAGAATAGCGAAAACTTTTTCTGTTTTATTGAAACATATCGCTGTTAGAGTGAAATTTATCGATATTCCAGGTGAACCTTTTTTTCCGTAAATAAAGTAATTAATAAAGTAATTAACTTTATATGTATAATTAATTAGATTAGCTTTTAAAAATTATTGTAAATTGTAACAATTAATGTAAATTTTCAATTACAAAAAACTGAAGAAATTGTTAATTGTTTGAAAAAAGTACAATAACGAAAATTATTAAATTAAGAAATCCAGGACAAAAATCCTTGAAGTTAAATGAAATACAAGACAAGTTTTATAAAAATTTTCTAGATAAAATCTAGTTATGTAAATTAAAAATGCGACTTGGTGTTGCTCTTTAAAATGCAACAGAAGTACATGAAATTTTTTTGAACTAAAATTTTTATTTATTTACTATTTATTATTTTTCATTAATTTCTGTTTTTGTTATTATTTATAAACAATATTATTATTTTTTATTTTTATTTTATTATTTATTATTTATATTTTATTTTTTTTTATTCCAATATTTAATTAATTTACTACCATATTATTTCATGAATTTATTTCCATTATTTAATAACAACAGAACAGTAAAAGAAGTATTATTATAAGACAAAGTATAATAATTAATTGGTGAAAAATTATAAATGATAAATAGTAATAATTATAAATGACAAGTATATTAATAATTATGAGCATTATGTGTATAATAACAATGAATAAAATTTACGTATCTTGAATTATGATCATCGTGGAGACAAAGCATTTTTTTTTTTTTTTTTTTTTTTTTGAAGGCAAAAACAAGGCCATATTGACTTTTACATTTTCATGCAAAAAAAAAAAGAAAAACGAGGAAATGAAATTGAGTAGAAGCAAGAGGATGGCAAAGTTCTAGTGAAGCTTTGTGTATTGATGAAGTTTGGGGAGGAATATTTTAGAGTCCTTTTGCTTTACAAAATGATTGATCGCCATGTAATTAATAACGTTTCCTAATGGACCAATTATTTGCACTATTAATTAAAATTCCGTCTCACTGATCAATGGAAATTTATCTTTTTCCCACGCTAAGAAATTTATATATATATATATAATATTTCCAATATGAAAATGATTTACAAATATACCATTAAGCTAATTAATAAATAACAATTATTCAAATATTCTCCCTTATTCATATTTAATTAAAAATTTTTCATTGAGAAAATGGAAGAAAAATATTCTTTAATCAAAAGAAAAATCATAATTTTGAAATTCCTTTTTTTTTATTTATGTAAAAAAAATTTCTTTTTATTTTCACCTTTTCTTTCAAAAATGAATAATTTTTTTATAGTTCAGTTTTTTTATTATTTTATAATTTATTTTATAAATATTTTATTTTTATTTTATTTAGTTAGTTAATTTCGTATCCAAAACGTTATAAAACCTTGAAAAAATAAAAATTATTTTTTTTTAATCAAATGAGAAGGGCTTAAAATTAGATTAAAATTTTACGATTGTTTCTAATCTAATCTTTCTGTTTTAGATAAGCCTGTTTCCACTAATAAATTTTGTATAATTTATTCTATCGATCTATTTATTAATTTAGTGCGTAAAAATGAAAGTTTTGTCCACTTATTATAAAATTATAAAAATTTAATAATAATAATAATAATAATTTATTTTCTTTACTATAAAAATTTAATAAATATTTTTGTTGAAAATTAATTTTGATTTAATTATTTAGTTAAAAATTTTTTTTTTTGAAATTGAAATTTTTAAATATGAGTATTTTATTAATATAAGTTGAGTAAATCAAAAGTTATAACTTTACCCCAGTTTTATTATCCTTAAATATATCCTGTTTTGTTGATATGAAAGAGGTTCTTGAAAAGCGAAAGAGAAGTTGAACCCTCATCTCAATTGACAGAAAGCTGTTTTAGCAATGTTCTCTAAAAGTTTTTTCATGTCAATGTGAAGTACTGCGTGAAAATTTTATCGCTCACTATTTGTGAAGTTCACCCTAAAAGTTGCGTATTACCCAAAAAATTTATTGTCCCGTCAAGTCGCTTGACTCTAAAGTTCAATAAATCCTCAAGTTAACTTTTTCCCATATAAAGAAACTTTATTTTAATTTTTTTCTTTCATTTGTTTTTTGTTTCTTTCTTTATATTTATTTATTTTTATTTATTCCTTTAAATTTAATTTTTAATTTTAATTTATTTAATATTTTAATTTTAATTTAATTATTAAAAATTATTGTTTATTTATTTGTATTGATTTATTTTTTATGAAAGAAAATAATCTCACTTTCTAAATCTACGATATACACGTGTTGAAATGTATAAATGGCCTTGAAGACAAAATGCATACTCATTTTATCCTTTCATGTCTTGTTTAGAATTTTCAGCATTTGAATATTTTATTGAAATGATAGAATTAAATTTATTTGAGAGAAAATAATTTTGTAATATATTTATATATATATATATAGTTGAATCTCAGTTATATAGTTTCATATATAATTGCTCAGTCATTAATCAAACCCTATTTTCGTCTATAGTATTGAGTAATAAAAAAATATAATAAAATGAAGAAAGGTGTACTATCTCTTTATGAGATGTGGGAGTAAAAATTTTTATGCTCTAATTAAAAAATTTCTTGAGTGCCTCATGACACTTTTATAACTATCTGTTTCGTAATATCCTTGTTAAAAAGTTGGTATAACTGAACTTCCAATATGATAAAAATATAAGTGAAATATTTGCCATAATTTTAGCTTGTATATTTTTCGATATAAAAAATAAGAAAATTTTTTTTTTTCATTAAAAAAAGGGTTTAATGGAAAAAGTTTAATTTTATGTATAGAGTAAAAGTTGTTATATTTCCTAAAAAATACTTAAGTCTTATTTTTTAAGTAGAAACAGTTATTTTTGTTAGACAATATTTGTTTTCAAGTAGATAAACATTCCTTGGTTGGATAAAACTTAATTTTTTTAAAGAGAAGAAGTATTTTTTCTCAGAAAATACTTAGTTATAACAAGAAAAATTAATTTTGTCAACTAAAGTTTTATTTTAAGTAGAAAAAATTGTTTTGGTCAGACAAAAATTAATTTCAAGTGATAAAAATTTCCTTGGTCAGACAAAATTTAGTTATCAAGCAGAAAAATTTGTTATTTCCAGAAAAAACTTGATTATAAAAAAGAAAAAATTAATATTGTTATGCGAAACTTTTTTTTAAGTGAAAAAATTAGTTCTGGTCAGACAAAAATTAATTTTTCTTAAGGAGAAGAAGCATTTTTCTCACAAAAAATTTAATTTTAACAAGAAAAATTAATTTTGTTACGAAAAATTTGTTTTTAAGTAGAAAAAGTTTTTTTGGTGAGACAAAAATTTATTTTCAAGTAAAAAAAATGTCCTTGTCCAGAAAAACATTACTTTTCAGGCAGAAAGCTTTTTTGTGACAGAGGAAGCTTCTTTTTAAGTAGAAAATGTTGTTGTGGTCAGAAAAAATTTATTTTCAAGTAGAAAAAACTTTCTTGGTCAGACAAAACTTAATTTTTCCTAAGAAGAAGAAGCATTTTTCTCGGAAAAAATTTAATTTTAACAAGAAAAATTAATTTTGTCACGAAAAATTTGTTTTTAAGTAGAAAAAGTTGTTTTGGTCAGACAAAAATTATTTTCAAGTAGAAAAAATGTCCTTGTCCAGAAAAACATTACTTTTCAGACAGAAAGCTTTTTTGTGACAGTAGGAAGCTTCTTTTTAAGTAGAAAATGTTTTTGTGGTTAGAAAAAATTTATTTTCAAGTAGAAAAAATTTCCTTGGTCAGACAAAATTTAGTTCTTAAGCAAATAAATTTGTTCTGGACAGACGAAAAGTATTTTCAAGTAGAAAGAATAATTTTGTTTGACATCGTTTATCTTTAAGTAGAAAAACAGTTTTTTTGCAGAAAAACCAGTTTTTAAGTAGAGAAGGTTATGTTGGTCAGACCGATCTTAATTTCTTTAAGAGAAAAAGTTTTTTTTAAAAAAAAAATTTGTTTTAACAAGAAAAATTAAATTTTCAAGAAAAACTTATTTTTAAGTAGAAAAACTTGTTTTGGTCAGACAAAATTTATTTTCGAGTAGAAATATCTTTCTTGGTCAGACAAAACTTATTTTTTTTAAGAGAACGAAGCTTTCTTCTCAGAAAGAACTTAGTTTTAACAAGAAAAATTAAATCTTGTCAAGAAAAGCTTCTTTTTAAGTAGAAAAAGTTGTTTTGGTCAGACAAAAAATTTTCAAATAGAAAAAGATTCTTTGGTGAGACGAAAATTAATTTTCAAGCAGAAAAATTTGTTTTTTTGAGAAAAAACTCGTTTTTAAAAAGAAAAATTAATTTTCTCAAGTGAATCTTCTTTTTAAGTGGAAATTTTTGTCCCAGACAGTCAATCTACTTACTTTAATGTAGAAAAACTTTCTTTTTTATAAGCAACGTTTTTATTTACTTATCTATTATTCTTTTTATTTAGTAACGTTTCTTTAAGTTAAAAAAATATTTCTGTCAAACAAATCTTATTCTTAAGTAGAAAAAACGTCCTCGGTCAGACAAGCCTTTGGTTTTTAAGTAGAAAAAGTATTCATTTGTCAGCCAAGGTTTTGTTTCAAGTAGAGAATAAGCATTTTTGTCAGACAGAAGTTATTTTTAATAGATAATAGTAATTAATTAACATAATTTAATATCATTAATATAAATATAAAATTATTAATATAATATCATATTATTAATATTATATAGTATTATATAATATTATCAATACCGAATAATATTATTAATATTATATGACATGCGTTTTACATTTCAGATAACACGTCATGTAATATTACATAGATGGACATACTGTAGAATATTATTATTATTAGAAAAAAAAATCATTAATTATGATAATATATTAATTTGACAAATAACATCGTATTGATTTTTCTCTCTTAAATGTGATGTAATAAATTTTTTCTATAAATTAATATACATACATATATATGTATTATATAAAATACGAGAGTCAAAAATAAAATCAAAGATGACTGTCGATAAAATTGATAGATCACAACAATTTGTTAAAGTCGATGATAGAGGTTTTCAGCCATCAGAAAAATGGAGAATATTAAAAAATATTTTAATGATCGGATTTGCATTCATGATACACTTCACTGCCTTTATGGGGGCGAGTAACCTTCAAAGCTCGATCAATGCAGATGAATCTTTAGGGACGTTCACTTTAGCCTCAATTTATGGTAGCCTCATCTTCAGCAATATTTTCCTGCCAGTGGTTCTAATAAGGTATTTTTAAGTTAAATTATGATTATTATTATTATTATACTTAAAGGGGCAATTATTTTTAATATTTTTTTAAAAAATTAATTTTTGAAAAAAAAAATTAAATTTTTTCTTTTTAGTTGGTTAGGATGCAAATGGACCATTTCATTGACCTTCATTGCATACATGCCATTCATTGCTGCTCAGTTCTACCCTAGATTTTATACGATGATTCCTGCAGGATTAGCAGTCGGTCTTGGAGGAGGACCACTTTGGTGTGCAAAGTGCACTTACTTGACGGTCGTATCAGAGGCTTATGCCAGTGTCTCAGATTTAAGTGCCGATATTCTAGTCACGAGATTCTTTGGTCTTTTTTTCATGTTTTACCAAATGGCTCAGGTCTGGGGAAATCTCATTTCATCAGCTGGTGATTATGAATTTTTAGAAATTACATTTTTATTTTTATTTTTCATTTTATTACATTCTTTTCTAAACATTAAAAAAATAACACACAAAAAAAATTGTTTCAAAAATTCTACACTGTAAAAAAATTAGAGAGTTAACGTTACTGGGAGTTGGGAGTTAAAATTTTCGAGTTAAATATCAACTCAAAAAGGGAGTTAATAATTAAATTAACTCCTTAAAACCAACTCCCACTTGGAAAGGTTCCCCGGAAAGTGCCCCCTGGAGGTTCTATCAGAATTCCGCCGGAACTTCCAACGTAATTCCGTCGGAATTCCATCGGAGTTTCATAGAATTTCCAATGGGATTCCGACGGAATTAGGACTCTAAAAATTTTGAAAAAAATTAATCGGAATTCCGTCGGAATCCCATAGGAAATTTTTTGGAATTCCAACGGAATTACGTTGGAAGTTTCGGCGGAATTTTGATAGAATCTCCAGGGTGTCAATTGCGTAACTTTTTCCGGATCCCACATTCCAGATTCCACATTCTGCACTCCACTTTTCACATTCTGTATTCCGGATTCCACTTTCAAAATTCTGTATTCCAGATTCCACAATCTGGATTTCGCTGTAAAAATTATGTCTTCTATAATCCGGATTCCACTTTTCACATTCCGTATTCCATATCCCACATTTTGAAAGTGGAATCCGGAATATGGAACGTGGAATATAGGATCCGGATTTCGGAATTTTAAAAGTAGAATCCGGAATGTGGAATATAGGATCCGGATTTCGGAATTTTAAAAGTAGAATCCGGAATATGGAAAGTGGAATCCGGAATGTGGAATATAGGATCCGGATTTCGGAATTTTAAAAGTGGAATCCGGAATACGTAATGTGAAAAGTGGAATGTGGAATCCGGAAAAAGTTACATAATAGAGCCCCAGGGGGCACTTTCCGTGGAATCTTTCCCTGGGCATAAAATTAACTTGTAAAGCATTAACTCCCTTCGCTTTAACTCCAAAAGGGTGGGAGTTGAATCGAAATTAGGGGGGGGAACTCCTGGGGAGTTGAAATTTAACTCCTTTTTTTACAATGTAGTTAGCAAAATTAAACGTGAAATTTTTCTCCAGTCAAAGAAATTAATTATCTCTCTCTCTCTTATATTTAGAAATGAATTTTTTTATTTTATATAATTTTTTTTTTTTTTAATTGAAATTTCAAATAATGATAACTGTGATGAGTGATAGAAATCGAACGTAAAAATAAATTGAAAATATTTATTTCTTCGAAAAAAAAAAATGAGGTCAAATGTGCAGTAAAATAATAGCTATCAAGTTGTTAGAAAAATAATAAATTTTTTTCTTCTATCCGTTTATAACATCGTAAATTCTCACGTTTGCTTGATAATGCTACACATCATATATATAACGTTGAATCCATCGTGCAACCATGGCACGAATTGTTCAATTGGTAACGGATATATATATATAAATTGAGAGTACTCACGTTCACTTTTAAATTATATCAAATCATCCCAATGGTACCTATAAATTATAGTTCGTTTTAGTGACAGGTATTTCAATTTATTTAAAAGGAAAAATTAACGACAGTGAATTAAAAGCATATTTCAATCACTATTTCCGAATTTTTTAATTCACATTTTTTTTTCAATTTAAATTTGTTTTGTACATAAAGAATATTATACAAAAAAAAAAAAATTTATTACCACAATTTTTTGGTAGGGTTATTTATTAATTTTGATAATTTTATTTATCATAAATATTTAATTTCGAGTCATTCTTTTCGTTTTTGTAGATTTTTTTGATTGAAAAGAAATTTTTTAATTATATAATAATTTTATTTTGTTTAAATATTAAATTTTTAATTCTTCTCTTTTTGATAAATATTTTTATAAATTCAAAAGAAATTTTTCATTTATATATAATAATTTTATTATTAAATATTTAATTTCGATTTACTCATCACTTTTTTTGTAGATTTTTTGATTAAAAAGAATTTTTTCATAATTTTATGATTTTTTTTGTAATTGACGAATTGAAAAGTTTGTATAAACCCTATTGGGTATGCAAAGAAATAAATTATTATTATTATAATTTTATTTGTGAATTAAATATTTAATTTCGATGCATTTTTTTTAATAAAAAAAAAAAAAAAAATTCCAGTACTCTCATATGGAATGGAAGCAAAGGAAGTGGAAAATGTATTAAATAGCACAGTGGTATCAGAAATTTGTGGAGCACAATTTTGTGGTATCGTTGAAGCAAATCCAAATTTAGAAGCACCAGCACCAGAAAGAATTTGGATGATTTCAGGGATTTATTTAGCTTGTATGATCATTGCGTGTCTGATCGTTGCATTTGGCGTAGATTCCTTGTCAAGGTAAATTATTAATTTATAGGTCAATGTTTAATTTACGATAGGTAGTTGACAATATTGACACTGACCATTGCTAATGTGTATGTATTATATCAATATACAGTTATATTAAACTCTCCTTTGACAAAACATATATATATATACATATGGTTTTGAGAAAAAAAATTTCCCAATTTTTCTAATTTCAGTGAAATATTCCTTTAGAATATTAGAAATAATTTGTTTTGGTAAAATATTCCATTTTTATTTCTAGAAGTAATTTTTAATGGAATATTTCATTTTTAATTTTATTAATACTGAGTAATAATTCATATTGGAATATTAGAAATATTTTTTCAAAAATATTCCATTCATATTTCTGGAATATTCAATTTTTAATGGAATATTTCATTGAAATTTTACTAATATTCTTGAATAATAATCCATATAATAAAATTAGAAATATTTTATTTAAAAAATTCCATTATCAAATAAATATTTATTTGAACTAAATAATTTTTATATAATATGAAGATATATAAAATACCACCGAGTGATAAATTCATATTATTATTAAATAATTTTTATTTGACTAAATAAATTGTAAAACGAATCCAATAATTTTCTTTATTTAAAACAAATAAATATTTATTTGATTTGTAAAGTATTTTAATAAAATAATTTTTACTTAATACAATAGTCGTAATCGTGGAATATTTCATACGTGAATATTTAGATTAAATTTATTAGTAATTAAAAATTAAAAATTAGAAATTAGTAATTAGAAATTAGTTTGAGTGGAATATTCCAAGAAAAGTAAATGGAATATTTCCCATATACGAAACTGGGATTAACGGAAAATTTATTATAGATACGATAGAGGCAGAAAGGGATCAGCAACTGGAACATCTGGTTTGAAATTGTTAGCAGTGACTTTGAAATTGTTGAGAGAGAGAAGTCAATTATTAATTTTGCCACTGACAATGTTCATAGGAGCCGAACAGGCCTTTCTCTTTGCTGATTATACTGCTGTATGTATAGAGACAATAGAAAAAAAAATACAAACACATATATTAATGAAAATTCCATAAAAATTCATTTTATTCTCATTTTTTTTTGAACGCATGAATATATTCTTGTTTAAATAACAAAAAAAAAATATATTTTTCACTGGAGAATGAAAATGAAATATTTGAAAATATTCCATCGTCATATATATATATATATTGGTAGGAGCTTATGAGATTTAATTTTAATTTTCAGTCGTTTGTTTCCTGCGCCTGGGGTATTAATAATATTGGATATGTGATGATATGCTTTGGTGTGACTAACGCTATTGCAGCATTGGCCACTGGTTCAATAATGAAACTGACGGGAAGGATTCCCGTAATAATCTTTGCTTTTTTTCTCCACATGGGAATTCTCATTGCCTTGATCCTTTGGAAACCTTCGCCAGAACAAGGTCCCATATTCTTTGTTATATCCGGCCTCTGGGGAATTTGTGATGCAATTTGGCTTGTTCAAGTCAATGGTGAGAGTATTTTAAATATTTTTTTCAAAAAAAAAAAAGAAAAAAATTGACAAAAAACAATTCTTAGTTTTTAATTAAAAAATATTTTTTTTCAATTATAAAGAAAATTATTTTTATAGGATTTTTAAATACTTTTTTTTAACAATTGGATTATATATTCAAATAGATTGCATTAAACATTTTTTTAATTATTAATAATTAATAATTAAAAATAATTCGAATATAGATTAAAAATAATTCAAATCCGAAAAATAAATTATCCCTTTAAAAAATCAAAAAGTTAAATGGTTATTTTGGTGTTTTTTAAATTAACTTTTTATTTAAATTGAATATTTTTTTTTAATTGTTTGCTATTCTCGAAATTAAACATTTGAAATTTGAAGAATCAATTTCAAATTTTGGTAAATTTGAAATAAAAATAAAAACCAAAAATCTACCAAAAGCGGAAGCGAAGCTACCAAAATCTTTTTCGTATTATTTCCAATAAATTTAAAATTAAATAATTGAAATATTACTACTAGCTCCATATATGGGATTTTCGGTGCAATTACTTCTTCAATATTACAGATTTCTTCGTAGGATACTTGTTTATCGATCAATGGTTAAATTTACCATCGGTCAATCTCTTTCTCTTTTCAAAAAATTTCCTCTCAAAATGGAAATAATTGTATAATATTTCTTTTTTTTTAAATTATAAAATTTTTATTCTTTAAAAATAACAATTTTACAAATTAATTTGTTTTAAGGAAAAATTTTTAACTGTGTAATTTTTATAATCTTGATAAGGTAATATCTATTGCTGTAAATTCTTCCTTATCATCGTATGATAATTAATATATGGTTTCAGCGTTATGCGGCTTGCTGTTTCCAAATAAGGAAGAAGCCGCGTATTCAAATTTTCGATTATGGGAAGCAACAGGATCTGTTATTGCCTATGCATATAGTCCCTATTTGTGTACAGTGAAAAAAATTTATATTCTCATGTTTATACTTTGTGTTGGTATGATTGGTTATGGAGTAATTGAAAAAACTGGCGCAGTGAGAAGAATTAGCAAAGATCAAAATAAACCCGATTTTGAACTCGTTGCCTCATTGGACAAGTGAACAAATGAATTTTATTCTCGTGAGTGAAATTTATTTTTAAAAGTATAAAAAAATATTGTTAAGCATGCAGTATTATCAGAATAATTTTTTAAAGTAATTTAATTAATACAGTCGTTAGGTTTTATTTATTTTTTAAGAAATTTTAATTGTTTTTCAAAAATTGAATTTATAAAAATTCTTTTAAAGGATACGAATAAAATAAAACTAAATTGTTAAAAAAAACAGAATTATTAGCTTTTTAAGGAAATAATTTTTATTAGTGATTTAATAATTTAGAATAATTTAGAATAATTTAGAATAATTTAATATTAAAATAAATAATAAAATATTAAAATAAGAAAATAGTACTAAAAGTAATTTTATAGAATCAGAGTGGGAAATGAGCATTAGTCTTTGTTTTATATATGATTTGTACCACAATATATGTTTTTATTTAATTCTTGTGGACACCTACTAGATTTTACACAGGTATTCGCTTATTTTCTAATTTTCTTCCTTCGTTTAAATACGTTGTTTAATGTTACATCGTGGTTAGGTGCTAACATTCAAATCTATAGCTACATTTTTCGCTTAAAATCTAATTCTATGTATGATTTTTTTATCTTCCAACTGCTTCTTGTGTGCTTTACATATTTTTTTTTTTCTCTATAATCGTGGTCAATTCAATTTTTATTTTCGATATTTTAACTCTGTACATTGCCAATAACGCTTTTTTTTATTACAAATAAAAGGGGGAAAAAATTATACAAATTAATTAATTTTCATTGAGAATAAATTCTATTTCCAAGAATAAATTTTACTTTCTAGATAGATATATATATATATATATTTATAACATTTGATTAATTAACTAATTAATATAGGAACATTCAATTGATATTTGAATGTTTAATCTTCGAGTATTTGTATCCATTAATTAATCAAAAATTAATAACTCCAATTAATAATTAAACTTCAATTAGCTTCAATTGGAAATAAATTTAATTTCAATGAAAAAGAAAATTCGCGTGGCAGTTATTTCATTTTAAGATACAATTATAATATGCTTTTTATTGACCACGAATTTAGGAGAATGAATTGTCTTTTTTTTTTTTTTTTGATAAAAAATTTCCTCATTGAAAAGGAAGATCGTCGAGAATCTTAAGTTTATGGATTCTTTTTCTTGTTCATATTTTTTTTTTTTTTTTTGAATCGTTTTCTGTGTAAAAGATTTTTTTTTTTTGCTTTAAATATGTGTCTTGATAGTGTCAAGACCTTGATCAATATAATGAATCAAGAAGTCAAATGATCTTGATTCAGTCTCGGATCATCTGATTGTATCGCGTGAGATTTCTAACTTAACTTCGCACCTCTCTGTATTATATGTACAAATTTTTTTTTTCTTTTTTCTTCATGTTAATCGCATTTTATTTTTTATAAAACGTAATAGGAACTTTGGTTTCGCTGGGCAATGTTTTATTAACAGTTTCCTTGAAAAATTGAAATTTTTTCAATAATAAAATAAAAATTATTTAAACTTTTTTGTAAATAATAATATAAATACTTTATTTCATATTTAATTTTTATTTGATACTACAATTTAATTAAATATATTTCTAGATTCAAAAATGATAATAAATAACATTTGTATAAATTTTTATTTTAATTACAAATTTTCTATATTTTTAGAATCCAAAGAGTTGTTGTTCTAATGGAAATTGTTGTAAAACATTGCCTTGTGGATTTGACTTCCTTAGAAATATGACACGATTATACTTTTAAATTCTTAAATACTTATAGTAATTAAGATTTTTTTTTTTTTTCATAATGTTAAATGGAAAAGTTTACGAAGAAAATACACATGATTTCTCGCTTATTTTATTTTTCCTAGTTTTCGTACACATTCTTATTAACATTCTTTCCTATCACTTTTTATTTTGTTCCTATCAAGCTCGAGTCGCTTCATATTAATTTCGATAATAAAATTTAATAACCAGAATATTTCTGTACAAATTTTTTTTTTTTTGGTAAATTAGCTTCTCTTTGTTAATTTTTATCAAAATGTCAACAGGAAAATTTGGAATTTAAAATTTTGCTTCTCAAAAGGGCTTATTATAGAATACATTTTTTTTTTTGGAAAAGAAAAAAAAAACGGTAAAATATTTTCTCTTTCTGATTATTTTAAATAAATATTTTTTAACCATGTACATTTTCTTTGCATCTAGCTATTTTATAGCTTCGATTAATAATAAGTTTATTACTTTAGCAATTGCAAATGCGTCTATCTCGTTATCTAGCATTATCATTATTCATATATTTACAGATTGAAAACTACGATTTTTTAGTCAGTAAAACCACACGTGTTAATTAGCGGATCGTCAAATATTTTCGTATTTTTTATTTTTATCTAAATGTACATGAGCTAAATTAGAAATTCAAATTTTTATTTCTTCTTTTTGGTTAAAGGCCAAAAATTACAGAAAGTATTTTTGATTTTTGTTTTTTTTTTCTATATATTAAAATGGTGAAATAATTAATCAAAGAAACTTGAATTAATGAGAATATTTTTAATGTATAGTACTTTTTATTGTACCTTATCAACACGAAAAGATTATTTGCAATCCGCTTGAGAGATGCAGATAACAAAATTTGCATGGCCTAACTTTCGCGACTCAATTATGATCATGATAAGATAATTTAATTAGCATTGTAAAAAAAGTAAATCCATACAAAAAAAAAATGTGCAATTTTTTTTTCAAGGTTTACGTGACAAAAAAAAATTAAAAATTTTTATCTTCACCTTTTTTTCTGATACCAATTATTGATTAAATCTAATTAATCAGCAAATTTTTTTTTCAAAATTCCAAATATTTTTTTATTGGAATATTTTTTTTTTGTGTGTATATATCTTGTTTTTGACTAATTTCCTTTTTTTGTTGAAAATTCTGCTCAAATCATCACACGAAATTAATAAGTAATTTCAGAAAAATTTAGAAATTACGATTTTTCGAAAATAGTTATTAAATTTTTACAGAAAAAACAAAACAAAAAAAAAATTTTTTTTTTAATAATTGAGTTATATGTATAGTTAATTTTGAGAAGGCACAATGATTATCACTTGGATTATATAATTTAAAAATTTTCCCATCATGAAAATTGTCAAATCCATGTTTAAAAATGTATTCTTAATTATATCTTAAATTAATACTTAATAAACAAATTCATTAAAAGTAGTCAGTAATTTTATCGTGAGAGAGATTGTGAGCAAAATTTTTAATTATTCTTTATTCAACGATTATTGAAATAATAATAAAAATTTTCTTAATAATAGTAATAAAATTAATTTATCTAAATAAATAAAAATTCTAAAAAAAGATATAAAGAAATAATTGAAACAAGAATAAGAAACTAAATTTTTCAATTTGAATAATAAAGTTCTATTGATTATAACTTTTTAAAAATAAGAAAAATTTAATTAAATTCTATCATTTGAAAAAGTATAAAATAATTTATAAAAATAAAATTTTTAAATAACTCTACCTTTTGTGTGTGTGTGTGTGTTTTTTTTTTTTTTTTGAAATTAATAATTAATTTTATTATCAACGTCAATCAAGCTTATCGGGCGTAATGTGTCTCCTCACTCGATTTCTCCATTGATTTCTCTTTCGATTTCCAGTTGTCTCGTAATTCTTGATATTATGCCGATATCACAGTTCCTTCTATGAATCAATCCACCCACAAACTTTCACGAATCGAGATTTAAGACTGTTCCTAATTTCAATCGTTTTATTTTTATTTTTTTAATATTAATCAATAGAAGAAAAAAAATGGAAAATATTATTTTCCACTTTTACCGAGAGGCGAAGAAGTAAATTATGAAATTTCACCTAAAAACAAAGGTTTAAGCGTTTCCGTTTTCTCATTTGAATTTATTAAAAAGAAAATTAAAAAAAAAGCCTAATGACTAATAGAAAAAACGATTCTTTTCTTTTTTTTTTTTTTTTTGCTATAAAAATTAGTCTTTGATAGATTGAGTATTAAAAAGTATGAAAAATTGGAAGTTATAACTGCGCTAATTGTAAGTAAAAGATCACATGAAACTTAAATACAATAATTCGAGAGATATTATCTCATTTTTCTTTTGCGATTCCAATAACTTGTACACGAGTTGTAATCGATTTCTGCTAAAGAGAAGATAACTTTCACACCACCAATATCAATAGTAATAATTTTTCATCAGCATTTAATTTAAAAATGATACTTTATTGCTTCTTTTTTTTTTTATCTCAAAGTTTTTTCCTCTTTAGCTCGAGGTTTTACATCCCGTCTATAATTGCAAAAAAAAATTTGTTTTTTTGGGGTATGTACATTTATTTTTTTTTTTTCAATTTTTTTGTTAAGATTTATAATATCTAGAAACATATTTACAAAGTTTGACGATTTTTTTTTTTTTTTTTTTTTTTTTTTGTTCGTCTGTGTTTATAACTTGTCGTCGCGGGATCACATATCGTCGAATCCTAATATTAAAATTATTTACAGAATAATACACGCGTATACGTTTTTGCGATCACAATGCTCGCGAGACGAATCGCGATTTTCCTCTCAATTACCCTGTTCGAGATTTCAGAAATCTGTCGATTCGTCATCGCCTTTCAGTCGTTATGGCTACGTTCACTAATTTTTTTTTTTTATTTATTGTAAATTGGAACGTTCCGAGTTTCATTGAAAGCTAAATAATTAAATGAGTCCAAATGAAAAGTATTTTTTTTAGCCATACTTTTCATTTTTTTTTTTTGACAATTTGGCTATTAATTTATGAAAACCTTCTTAGACAGTGTCAAATTGGGTGACATTTAAATTAGTTAATTTTGTTTGGGAAAAAATTAAATTATTTTTTATGTTGAAAAATTGTGTGATTTAAAAAAAGGAAATTAAATATTTTGAAATAAAAAAAAAAAAAATTTGTAACCGTCATGAGTTACATTTTTCAAAAAAAAATACGAGTTGTCCCCAGACACGTGAGAAGACGAATGTCACCAAAAAAAGAAGCTTGTTTTTGGCGCTAGTATTTTTTTTTTTTTAATATTATGGAAGATATAGTCGATTTACATTTATACAACGCCCTTTGACATCATTCGTACAGTATTCTTCAGAGCTTGCCTCTTATTGCAGAACCAAATCCTTATTACTTCCCTTTCGTAGCCCAGCTGATGCGCCAGCGTCGTGATCTCGTTTCCTGGGAACAAAGTTTAATTAAGTCAGTCGGCAGTTCATTGACGGTAGAATGAGAGGAGTATATATGCTATTTTAATGAGCTTTCGTCGTTGGAATCGCGCGGTTTGCAAGTTATTAAATTTTAATTAATATTATAATAGAGGTCATAATTAAATATGTGTGAATTTGCATCAGGCGATAGGGATACTGCCAATAGAATGTAATTGTTTAACTTCAAACTTATATGTAGAGGAGAGGGCTGACTGCACCAATTATTGGTTACTCAATCAAGATTATATTTATGCGCGGGTAAATAAATTAGTCAATGTCGTCCGATAAGTAGATTATTGACTCAATTTAAATTCATTTTGTCTATATAAGTATTTTGTATAATTCATATACACGTATACAATTATATAGTATATATAATTAATAAATTAATCAACATTTTTTTCTGTCTAGACAGTGTTGTCATATGCTTAAGATTTCTTTTTTTTTCTGTAATTTATTTATGTCTTTTAAATTTATCTGACGAAAACGAAATTATTAAAATAGTTCTATAAAGTTTTTTTCAGATTATAAAAATAAGAAATTATAAATTATAAACTAACTATAAAAATTATAAATTAAATTAATTTTCTTATAATTTATAAATTTTTTTTCTTCTGATTTTTTTTATGCATAATTCTTACCATTTGGATGAGTATTTCTGCCAAAGTGAGCATTCAACAATTCAAGAGCTTGGGGTGTAAAGGAAGTGCGTCGTTTTCTTTTTTTACTCGGTTCAACTCCGATGAAATCCATAAGATGATTGGCACCGCTTTTATTCCTATAATCAAAAGTACTACTCTCACTCAAATTCTGGCATTAGCTTCAATTATTGGAAGAACAATATTTAATATGGGGCATTCTATGGGAAATTTTCATGGAAAATTTTTTTTTGTCTGAAACATTTTTTTTTCGAAGTCTATATGAAAAATAAGGAAATACGTATTTTTTTATTTGATGAAAAATGAAGGAAGTTATGATTTTTTGAAATTTAACGTCAACGAAGAAAGTGTGTTTTTGGAACATTTTTTAATTTATTGTACTAAGAAATTAAAAATTATGCTATATATGAAATTTGTTCATTTTTTCTCAAATTTTTCAAATATGTGCTCAAAAATAACGTACGTACAGAAGCAACAAAAAAGTTGAAATTAAACTCAAAAAGTGAGTTTTCTCAAAAGAGACACTTTCGATTTTTAATTTTTTTTTTGCATTACAATCTCTGATGATTGAAGAATTTTTTTCCCCTATCTGCGAAAGTGGTATTTTTAGTTTTTAAATTACTATTTATAATTTTTTTAGTACGGCTCACAGAATTTAAGCATTTTTTCTACAAATATAACCTTTTTTCATTAACATTCATTTGTTTTTTTTTTAATTTTCATGAAAACATACTAAAAATCGTTGCGTCAAGCTTAAAAATTGTAAATAGTAATTTAAAAACTAAAAGTACCACTTTCGCAGATAGGGGAAAAAATTCTTCAGTCTTCAGAGATTGTAATGCAAAAAAAAAAAAATTAAAAGTCGAAAGTGTCTCTTTTGAGAAAACTCACTTTATAAGTTTAATTTCAACTTTTTTATTGTTTTTGTTATAGGTACGTTATTTTTGAGAACATGTTTGGAAAATTTGAGAAAAAATGAACAAATTTCATATATAGCATAATTTTTAATTTCTTAGTACAATAGATTAAAAAATGTTCCAAAAACACACTTTCTTCGTTGACGTTAAATTTCAAAAAATCATAACTTCCTTCATTTTCATCAAATAAAAAAATACATATTTCCTTATTTTTCATATATAGACTTCGAAAAAAAATGTTTTGGACAAAAAAAAATTTTCAATGAAAATTTCCCATAGAATGCCCCATATATAAATTTTTTTATTAAAAAAAAAAATAATAAAATACTCAATACCAAATTTATTCGAAATTTTTCAAATTTTATTTTACAGAACAAAATTAAAAATTACATGTTATTTAAGAAAAAAATACTAAATTTATTTAAATTAAAAATTCACAGAAAATTAAAAGGCATTAAAATAAGCTTATTATTTTAATCCAATTTTGCTTATTTTAATCCATTTTAGTATTAAAATAAGCAAAATTGGATTAAAATAATAAGCGTTGCAGCTAATTTTAATACCTTTTAATTTTCTGTGAAATCGACGAAATTTTGAAATTTTTTTTTTCCTACATGTAATCTTTAATCTTGCAAAGTGAGAGTCGTGTTGTTTTTTTGTGGATTTGTTGGTTGTGTTGTTCTTTTTTTTTGTAAGGGGTGGAAGGGAGGCGGAGATCGTCGTTTGCCGGTTAAAATTTATGTTTTTAATTTAACTCTGAATGACCAACTGTCGAGCGACATTCGAGGACGTGCGGAGGGTTTTTGGCGAAGGGTAACGACAACGAGAGGGTAGTAGGAGAGAGAGAGGGGGGGGGGAGGGAGGGAGCGGATAGCACGAAACAAAATTAGCATCGCGCGGTGATATTTCGTCGAATTCGCGAAAACAATATGCTAATGGAGAGAAGCGAGAAACCAGTAGTAGGTGGTATATATATATATATGGCAAAAAAGTACCTATATAAACAATTGTCAAAAAAAAGTTCATCTCATTACAAAAAAAAAAAAAAAAAAAAATGTGTTTAAAAAATAATTTTTTTCTTTGCCCAAAAATTCGTCAATTATTTAATAATATAGGTTGTTAATTTTTTTTGTTTAATGATTGGAAAATTTTTCAAGTAATTAAAAATTTGTACACTGAAAAAAATTTATTTATTTAATAATTAATTAATTTATTTATATATTAAATTATTTAATAATTTATTTATTATTGGTTCATATACCACGGGGAAAATTTATTTTACTGATTTTTGAACCCCCTCCCCCCATTGTAGATACAAAAATACATTGAATCGTGGACATTTTTAAACACCCCCTCTCCCTAAAGTCTCAACGTGGCATATGGACGGCCCCCGAATTAATTAATAATTTATTATTTAATAAATAAATAAATTTAAATAAATAATAAATATAATATAATATATAATAATAATAATATTAATAATATAATAATAATATATATATATATATATATATATATATATATATATATATATATATATAATAAATATAATATAATAATAAATAATAAATAAATAAATAATAAATTAATAATTAATTAATTAATAATTTATTTATTTAATAATAAATTTAATAATTTTCAAATAATTCGAACAATCGGTTACTTGACTATTTAATTAAATATTGATTAACTTTTATTAATTAATAAAAAATCAATTAAATATTGATAGATTTTTATTAATTAATAAAAAATTAATAATTAATTTTTACAAAATCATCCCTTATTGGTTTATCGTTACTTTTTTTTATTTATATTATTCCAAAGTCGGTTTATCGGGTGAAGAAAGAGAGAGAGAGAGAATTTGAAGATGAAGATTGAGACGACAGGACACTTTGTGGAGGGGAGGGGGGGGGGTGTAAGGAAAACGTGAATAAGAGAGTAGAGAAGCAATGTGGTGGATGGTAAAGGGGTGGTGTAAAAGGTGGTACTGGAAATGGTGCTAGAGAGAGTGAGAGAGAGAGAGAGAGAGAGAGAGAGAGAGAGAAGGCGGAGGTGGAGAGTAAAGAGGGGTACATCAGAAACCTGATTTTAATTAGTCCACAGTTTAATTACTCGGCAGATAAATCGTGCACGTGCACCGCATAAACCAGCCGCTTTCATTTTTCCGCCGCGCGCCACCTCACCAAGTATAGGTAAGCAAGTAGATATTTGTATATATATATGTGTGTGTGTGTGTGTGTGTTTGTAAGTATATAAGTAAAGTTAGTTGCGCGCGTCGCGATTCAAGCAATTGTGCACCACGTGCTTTTACCAGGTAAGTCGCGCACTTGTTTCCACACGCGTTCAAATAGTAAACCAAAAATCATTTTTTCCTCTTTTTTCAACTAATTTGAAAATTAATTCCCTACTCTATAATCTTAACTTCGAATATTTATTAATTAATTTATTATTTATTTCTTATATATTTTTTTAATTTATATTTATTTACTACATTTATTATTATTATTAATACTATTTATATTATTATTATTATTATTATTATTATTATCCTAATATTGGTACCAATTTGATCCAATTTGGTATCAACTTAAATACACTGAAAAAAAATTATTTGATTCCAATAATCGGTTACTTGATTATTATCAAATAATTATTATTTGAAATGGTATTTGTTTCAAATACAAAAATTATTGGTTCAAGTAAATATTTATTTGATAACAGTCAAGGAATCAAGTATTTGAATCAAATAAATTTTTTTGTACAGTGTACCTTCAAGAATAAACCACTTGGAAAGATTCCCCGGAAAGTGTCCCCTGGAGGTTCTATCAGAATTCCGCCGGAACTTCCAACGTAATTCCATCGGAATTCCATCGGAGTTCCAAAGAATTTCCGATGGGATTCCGACGGAATTCCGATTAATTTTTTTTTCAAAATTTTTAGTGTCCTAATTCCGTCGGAATTCCATCGGAAATTCTTTGGAACTCCGATGGAATTCCGATGGAATTGCGTTTGAAGTTCCGGCGGAATTCCGATGGAATTGCGTTGGAAGTTCCGGCGGAATTCCGATGGAATTGCGTTGGAAGTTCCGGCGGAATTCCGACGGAATTGCGTTGGAAGTTCCGGCGGAATTCCGACGGAATTGCGTTGGAACTTCCGGCGGAATTCTAATAGAACCTCCAGGGGTCACTTTCCGGGGAATCTTTCCAAATGGGAATCCACTTATAAAATTTTTTGATACATTTTCTTTTCGATGTAATTTTACACTGTCAATCATAATAATTGACCTAATGACAAAAGACACATAGTGAAATGCATATTTTAAGAGGTAAATTTTTTTTTCCTACTTTTGTTTTTGTTAGCGTGTTGGAAGACGCTAATCGAACCGGTATCGGGCGAGACCGCGGTGTTAATAAGCATGAAAGAAGGATTCAAGAATTTCTTCCTTAAGTATTTGGATTTTTTTTTTGTTTTTTTTTTTGAAAGACCCCACACTATATATGTGAAAGCATTGAATCGTAGTGCAAAGATCACAAGACGATATATATGTATGTGGTCACGATCTTTACGCGCGGCAAATTTGCCCACAATCTCTTTCTCTTTTTCTCTCAATTTTTTTTTTTTTTTTTACTTCTTCGTCACTCTAATTAACATTCCATGTATTTATTACACACGGTTTTGCAATTAATCAGGTGAATTCAATTAGCAATTTAACCAATTAGTATACGCATGCATTCGCACTATCGTTTCTTCTTTTATAGACAAAAGTCACTTGTTAGGATTTTTTTTTGTTAAAAAAGAAAAAATTTTATTAAAAAAAACATAGATAAAATAAATAGGTCTCCAAATTTAGAATATATAAAAATTATGAAGGAAAGTTTAAAAACTAAGTTGAATGATTAATAATAATTAATTAACGTTCACTTGTTTATGTTTCAAAAATTATTTTTTAATAAAAAATTATTACAATAAAAAATATATAATAAATTGCAATTTTGTCAATTCAAAAAGTTTTCGTTTATTTAATAAAATGATTTGCGTGTTGATAAGAAAGAAAAAAATATAATTTAAATAATCGGTTACTTGTCTATATTATAAATAAATATAATTACTTCAATTAAATAATTTTCACCTGAAGTAAATTTCGACTCGTATAATAATTATTTAATAAAAATAAATAAACATAATTACTTGAATTAAATAATTTTCACCTGAACTAAATTTTGACTCGTATAATAATTATTTAATAGAAATAAATATTTATTTCATAATAGTCAAGTAACGGATTATTTGAATCAAATAAATTTGTTTTTTTTTTCCAAGGGAGAAAGGAATTCGCTGATTACTGATAAGTAACTCACCTCTTTTTAGATTCAATTATAAATTTTTCCAAGACAGGCTTGATCCTCTGCGCGCTCTTTGGTGTAATGTCTAGTTTTTCAAACCTATAGTGAAAATGACGTTTTTGCGTATTTTTTTTTTTGTTATTTAAAGCATATTAAAAAAATGCTGCCGTAAAAAAAACATAGGAAAGCCAATTTTAACAAAAATAATAGAGAATATTGTGATATTGAAAAAAAATAGTTTAAAAAATTAATTAATTTAATTATTAATAAATAATTAATAATGAATGATAATAATTAATATTATTATCAATATTAAGTATTAATTATTAATTAATGAAAGAATAATTTCATTTTATTAAGTTTTTTTTTTCTCCAATTATAAAAACTGATTGGAAATTTAATTTTAATTAATAATAATAATGAAAAAAAGACAATATTCTCGTGAAAACAAATTGTCTAAAGGAGCACTAGAAAGGCATGCATCATTTTTTTTTTTTTGTTACAGGACATTGACAATGCGCGCATGCTTCTTGACTTGGTGATACGAAATGCACGATGTTGCCAACACGTGACTCGGTAGCGTGCAAAATCGTTTTTCTTTTAATTCTTCATCTATATAGGGTTGATTGGGAAATGAATTGAGTGTTTCAGTATTTTACAAAATATTTTTCATAAAAATTGTCAATGTGTATTTATAGTTATAATTTTATCTATTTTATATATTTATATTTTTATATATATACATATAAATAAATAAAAATATATTTTCATTGTATGTATTTTATTATTATAAAAATTTGTATAAAAGAAAGAAAGAGGGAAGGATTTGTGTTTGAGGTGTAATTATAGAAAAAAAAAATATGGATACGAGTCTTTCGCGTGTTGGCGACACCGTGCCCAAGCTTGCCAATGCCCTGGCTCAGAGAAAGTTTTTAAAAAATTTTGCTTCAAAAGTGCTCCTTTTTCATTTCCGTTCTTTTACTATTCTCATTAAGCATTTTTTTTTTCAAATCATCGCTTTTTCGTAAGAAAGAGAGAGAGAAAGAGAGAGAGAGAGAGTGTGTGTGAGAAATTCTGGATCTATAGCCTTCTTTTTTTTCAGCGGCGAAAAAAAAAATATTGGAAGAATTTCTTGAACACATCACGCTAATTTGATTTACATATATACATAGTCACGAAGATGGTATTCCTAATACGAGAAAAAAGGGACTTTTTTTTGGATATAATAATTTTGAATAAATTAAGTATTGAGTATAAGTGATTTGGTTAAATTTTCAATTAAATTATTAAGTAAAAAAAATGATAAGGGGTTGAACGTACATAGCTTGCTGTTGTTTCTCGTATTCTGCCAGAAAAGCCAGGGCACTGGGATACTTGGAAATCACACTGGGAAATCACCAATATTTTCAAATTAATCGAAACGATTCAAGTCTAACGTTCTTTTTTTGGTGGGTGGCTCTTTGGTAGCATGTCATTTTTGTTTACCTTTCTTTTTTTAAAAAGGATTTTACGAAATTATCCTTCCATGTGCCAAAATTCGTGTTGTATTCAATTTTAATTTTTTTTTTTAGCCCAATTTTTTGCATTAGTACGGATTTAATTTGTAATTATGTAATCACTTTATTTATATTATAAATAAAATTCATCAAAAATATTACTTATTGTTTTTAACGCACTAATTATATTTTTACATTAATCAAAAATTTATTGAAATGCTGCTAAAGTTCCACCCAGCATTACTTAAAATAAGTTCAATATTCAATCATTGATTACGTGAAATAACCCTCTGTCAATTTTTTCTAGTTCATTTTGCAAAAAATTATATAAGTCTTTTTATTTAGTACCAAATTATCGAAAAACTAGTGCAGATTATTAAATTTTCTTTTGTTTAAAAAATTAATTTTTTCTTCTATTTACAATTTATTTAAATAAAAAGATTTTTTTTTAAATATAACAAAAATTGAATTTAATACGGGAATAATTGATCGAAAAAATAAATAATTTAGTATTTAAAAAAAATCTAATTTTCTCATGCCATTTTCAGTGACCAGACACAATAATATATATAAATTTAAATTTTCAGGATTTTTTTTTTTCTTGAAAAACTTACCGGCATATTGCACTTTGACTGTAGGCTGGACCCTCCGTAACGCTAAGAGCTTGGCCAACTTGTGTTTGCGTTAATCCTAAAGCAAGTCGATCAAGTTTAAATCTTTTGGAAAAATCTCTCATTTCGTCTAAATCAACTCCTTCGACAATATTACTGGTCGCTTCGTTAATTGTTGGTTGATCTGTAAATATCAATTAAAATTCCAATCATTCATTGATTCGATATATAATTCGAATTATTTCATATTTTAAAAAAAAATTATTATTTATACAATTATTTTTTAAAAAATTATAAAATTTCAATAAAAATTCTAAGATTCTGTAATCGTAAAATTTGATGATCAATATGTCCAAACATTATAAAGGGACTCTCATGATTTGCAATCTAGATTAGTTACCCCGGTTTCAGGTAATAAACTTGCAAAGTCCTTCGATCATTAATTTCCAATCAAAGTTACCAGGAAAATCATACACGGTATCTCAAGCAAGTGATAAGCGAAATTTGTAATAATTAATTTAATGTTTCAAAAGTATTTTTTTTATTCGTTCCAACCATTTTTTTTAATATTAATTTCACTAAATTGAAATTTTATTCTCGACTTATTTTACAATAGTAAATTTCGTATTATTGAAAAATAATATTAATTTATCTCCAATTTTTTTTTTGGAATATTTTGGAAATTACTTTGGGAATATTTCATTCATATTTCAAATATGAAAAATAAAACTTATTTTTAATTATCAATTTTTGAAAATACTTTTCAAGTAAGTAAATTGGGAATATTATTAATTACAGGAATATTCGACAGGGAATGTATTACTATATTTACAAAATTCGGGAAAATATTCATAGGTGGGTTTGGGGGAAAAAAAATAAAAAGTTTCTTTATAAATAACATATAAAATTGAATTTAATTAACATATTTAATTATATTTAATTAACGAGTAATGTTTAAGACGAAAGACAAGAAACTAGTTAAAAAGATAGAAAGGATTATCGTGTTTATCATGGTAAAGAGGAATAAAACTATCCGATAAGTCTAATTAGAGTAGTAGATAAATTGATAAGAGAAAACTAAAACGGAATCATGATTTATGAAAATTATTTCTCAAGTGTAATTTTAATCGCATGAATGTTTTTTGTTCCAAATATTATTACTCGAATTAATAAAATAATCGGACTATTATCAAATAAATATTTACGTCTACCAAATAATTTTTGAAAGCAAATAAAAAATAATTTGTATTTGAAGCAATAATTTCTGTATTTGAAGCAAATATATCAAATAATAATTGATACAGCTATTTATTTGATAATAGTCGATTATTAATTAAATAAATTATTTTTTCAGTATGGGAATGGGAATAATAATAGTAATAATAATAATAATAAAAAAAATAAATTTTCACACGTACTAGGTGAATCATTGAGAAGATCGTCCTCCTCATCCTTGGAACTGTGCAAACTGCTTGGCGATGCTTTGACAACTGTCATAGTTATTTCACCATTATTGTTAGCCAGTCTGTTAAGAGCGGAAGCAGCGGAAACCACACCACCGTTCAAAGGCGACGATTGCTCCTGTCTATTATCTCTATGATGTTTTTCCGTCGGCTGAAAAATAATAGTGTTGCAGATAAAAAAAAAATTTGGTTTTACAGTTACCTTTTTGCAATACAATACCCCCTTTTTGGTAATGGAATTACGTTATTAAATATTGAGAAAGAAAAACTCACCGCATAATGGTTCATATGAGTAGTATGCCGATGGGCATGTTGTTGAGGTGAAGTAGTTAAAAGTGGTTGCGATGCTTGAGCAGCTTGAACAGCCTGAGCTTGAACTGCCTGAGCCTTAACTTGAGCCTGAGCTTGCGCCTGAACAGCCTGAGCAGCCTGCAACAATTGTTGTGGCATCAACAATTGTTGACTCGCTGTACTATTACCAAGAAGATGCGGTAACGCTGCCGGATTCAATGCTAATCCCGTCGCCAAACTCGGACTCGGTACTAGAATGAAAAAAGCATTGTTAATTCCAAATCAAAATTGGGAGATTAAAAAAAATTTTTTTGAGGAAATTACCATTACTTGTTGGTGTATTCATTAAATTTTGAGGTTGTGTAATCGACTGAAGATTCGCCAATGTTGTGGAGACAACTTGTCCATTGCTTAAGGGAAAGTCGACCATTTGATTATTGACATGATTGACAGGCGCTGCAATAATCGTCTGTGTAGAAATGCCTGAAAGTATACATATATAAATTTATAGTTTAGAACTCCTATTGATTCAAAATGGTTTTGGTAAACCCATCAGAGTCTCATAGAAGGATTATTAGCCAAACCCATAGGGCAGAAATAGGCTGTTCCGGTGTATATAGTTCGTAAACTATTATCGTCATCTTAATATCGAGGTACAGGTACTGGGCTTCGAGAAGGACGCCTAATCATACTTAGAATAGTTTCAGGATTACCTCCAGCTCCGCTAATCTGATAATCCTATACACTCGCTTAATATGATTACTGATCCTTAGAAGGCACCTGTGCTATACTATATTTAAGTAAATCCAGTTTTCTCAACAAAACTTTATCGAATCTCATTAATTTATTTTTTGAAATTATTCCGATTGGTTGCAGCCAATAGAAGCAGACAGACAATAGGAAAGAGGAGATGAGATTTGTTTTTGGTTTCTTGCGAGGTGTTACAGGAACGGAATTTTTGTTGTCGCATCACGCGAATAGTCACGTGTAGAAAGGACCCTGCACTTTTTACATTGAAAATGGCTTTCAGTCAAATCTTTTGAAACTCTGTTGTTTTGTAGTTTAAGGCTTCCTGAACAAAAAATCCTTATGCCAAAATTCAATCCTACACTAAGAGAAGAAAAGCACGGAATCTGAAATAGAGAAGTTCAGCATCTGTACACCAAGTTGAGCGCAGCAGCAGCGTCACTGTGTGATAAATGCCGTACTAAAATGTGAAATGGATGTTGTGCTTGGTGGTTCTAACTTGGCAGCGATAGTGACCGGACGGAATTTATTCCGGCACTCCATACATTTAACATTGATTTTGTTCTACCTTTGATTTGTTCAAATAAGTTTTAGTTCATTTTTAGCCAAGTTCTGTGCTGTGAATATATATGATTTGTTCTGCTTTTAAAAGCAACTTTTTAACCTTTTTTTTTAAACCGTTCGTTCTACCACGTGCTCTCCGAGGTGTTCTTCGAAGTTTGTTCTAATCCTGATGTGTGACTTCTATCCTCGCCCATTGTAATCTTTTTGTGAAATATCCAAATTTTTTGTGTCACCCTGAGGACCCATTTTATTGTTTTATTCATGACTTTTCATGAATTTTACTGGTTGTATCTGAGTTTGAAGTGACTCACTATTATCGTGCTGTGACCTCTGCTGTTTATAATGCTTTGTGGAACTATGTAAACATCTTTTGTATATCTGCGGTGTCACCTTGCAGTGTTGTGGTCTTCGACAGTTTAATATCTTAACTGTTGTTTAGTCCTAATAGCGTTTTATACTTTTATAATATGAATTTGGACAAGAACTTTCTAATTTTTATGATTGTTAAACATCTGCTGTGCAAATGTTTAGTACGAAAACAAAAATATTATTCTTAATCCTTAAATGGTGAGCAATTGAGTTATTTAGTTAGGATTTTTACCTTCGATTGTAAATACATTCTACATCGACTATTTTATAACTATAAGCTCCTTTTCAAAGTTTAAGAACTCATTTAGTTTATTAGGGGTAAGGAATATGTACCCATGTCGGCGCGCCAACATCGACCCTTTGTACCGAAATCCAGGTAATTTTAGTATCATTTTCAACTATTGTAACTTCGTTAATTTTCGTTCATTTTCGCAATATTTCGGAAAATAAAATACATACTCCACTTCCATACTTTTGAAAAAGACATCACTATTCGTCCGACCGTCTCTTGAAGTTGAGCTCTCGCTAAACCAACAATATTTAAGATGTAAACGCGAATCATATTTTTTTTCGTCCTTTTAATTGTACATTAGGTTAAATATTTAATTGAATAAATAAGTTTATATTTATCTAAAATATAACAAAAACCGAATCAAATTTTATTTCAATTTCTAACCTATTTTAATTCAGTCACACTAATGAAGAACTGTATACCCCTTATTCAAGGTTTAAGTATATTTAAGGTCTTTGAAATCCGGTGTGAACATTTTCCCCCCTTACAAGTACAATTGATGTTTCTCACTCAATCTGAGTTTATGTCTCATTGTTTTACCCAAAGGGAGCTCGACTTCAGTAGTCTTACTTTAACCTTCCATGGTTTTAATTTTCTGATAGAAAGTTAAAAACTGTTATTGAGATCAATTATATATATATATATATTTCAATGTATGCCCTATACGCTTAGAATTCAATTCTCGCATGTATTCTTCTCATGGGAATTTATTATGATTCATGAATGAATTCAACGTATGGCAAATTCATTTTCCTTGTACTCGACTTGTCCATTTCCAAGCGAACAATATATTTGATTCAATCTCAAATTTCCTATAAGCTGGATTTACTTTGCTGTTTTCTAACCTGTATTACCAACAGTGTAGCATATAGTGTATTCTAGAAATTTTTCGTCTTCTAAGTTTATTGTTCTGACAGTTGGCTAAGCCTCAAGTCATTTAAGAAGAAGAAGAAGGTGTTGTGCTTGGCTTGAGTATAGATACTGTACACAGATATGGAACTGTTTAGAAGTACAGTATCTGTCGGTCGCTATGAGACAGATTCCGTATAACTTAGTTCACACCGCTGCCGCGATGCTAGAGCTTAGTATCTGAACTATGAACGACACCAACTGAACAAAACTAAAGAACGGATACTGACACCCATTTTACACGTCCGGCGTTCGTCACAGTACGGATTTTGTGCTTTTCATCTCTCAGTGTATGAGTAGTTTTTTAGCTACAGCACTTTAAAGTTAAAAAATAATGTATTTATGAATGTTTTCTTTTTCACAAATGAATCAAAATCGCTCAAAATCTGTTAATCGGGGGTTTTTGGGGTCGCTGAGTACGAATCTGTGCTCAGAATTTCGGAATTCAAAATAGCGGATCCAATATGACGGACGCCCTTTCCTATTGTGTTAGATTAGGTTTAACAATTTTTTATTCGTTTATTACTTCAATTCTTTCTTCCTGTCGTATTCAGCGATCCCAAAAACCCCCGAATAATGATTTTGAAGTGAATTCAAGTGATTTTTCGAAAGCGTGTCCGCCATTTTGAATTCCGAAATTCTGAGCACAGATTCGTACTCAGTGACTTCGAAAACCCCCGATTAACAGATTTTGATTCATTTGTGAAAAAGAAAACATTCATAAATACATTATTTTTTAACTTTAAAGTGCTGTAGCTAAAAAATTACTCATAGGATTGAATTTTGGCATAAGGATTTTTTGTTCAGGAAGCCTTAAACTATAAAACTACAGAGTTTCAAAAGATTTGGCTGAAAGCCATTTTCAATGTAAAAAGTGCGGGGTCCAAACCCTACCAGGGTTTTAGTAGGATATTATTATCTGGCCTCGATCAGGGCAAATGTGGATTTCCTAATCAGTACCACATAAGGCACGGGTTTGCATTAAAATCCGATTAGGTCCCGATCTGAGCCATAGTAAAATTTCTACACGAAGTTGGATCGCGGTTATTATTAAAAATATCCACGACTGATTTGAATTGGGATAGTTGGTTTGAAATGGAAGAAAGTAAGATGGACATGGAAGAGTAAATTAGAAACTGTAGGCAACAAGCTGGCGTTCAGCTGCAACTTGGAAGTTAACCTCTAGAAGGTTTCTGTAGTGACCGACACTTAACATCATTCTCTCGATGAAAACTTTTGAATTCAAGAGTTAGAGGAAGCCATTCAATTGACGAAGCGTGTTACTCGTGAAGCTTATAATTCCATCGGTCCACGAGGACTGGTTTGATGTATATATATATACATACATGCACCTATATTTCGTGATAACTTGAATCCATTTAACCGGAATCCTAGAAGTTGTTGTCTATTGACAGAGAATGGAAGTCAGCAACTTGGTTAGAAACGAAGTTAGCGAGGAAGAACCACAATCAATATAATAGCGGAGGCAAAATTCGCTGTGTGTTCGAGGCTAGCCCAGGGTTAGCTGGACAAGTGTTAGTAATGGTCGAGAGGGTTTGTGAAGGACAGAGAAGATAGGGTATAAATGGGAGTTGGAGGAGGATGACGTCGTGGTGGTGGTGGTGGTGGTGGTCGAGAGTCGAGAAAGGGGGATGGTAGTGAGACGTTAATTATACATTGAAATTAGTTGCAGAGTTTGCCCTGTGCTTGCTAGTCTAGGGGGCCACACTAAGTATGGAAGGACGGCACCGGTTTTGGTCCCGCACTGGATGGTCCGAAGCTATGGTCAGAGATAGCCGATATTATAACGGCGCAAACTCGATTGTGTAATATTATGCAGACCCCTCTCTGCTCTTCCCCCCTTCAAAGTGTGATTAGGACTTTATCCTAACTCATACCAAAATCCCAACTTACGTTATAGCGACGGATTGAAAACGTCTCACCGGCGGGAAGCATTAGAACGAAATCATGTTATTTGCATTTTCAATCCCTCGTTACAAATATATTCAAATAGCTAAACAATTTTGGCTACATTTTCAAAAAATTATTGCTTTAATTTTTGAATTAATTTTAATTGAATTCTTAATACAGAATTTGTTGTTGGATTAAATTTTTTGTTTGGTTATTTTCTTTTATTGATCGAAGAGATTTAAACAAGTGGAAATAAAATAAATGACTCACCCTGAGAAGTTTGTATAAGAAGTTGGGCATGCTGAACATTTTGAATGAATTGACCCGACAATAAAATTAACGTCGGCACCGTAACGGGTTGAGGTTGAGAGAGAAGTTGAGGAAGTGTCGCCATGGGGGCCGAACTTGGCGGTGGCAAAAGATGAGACGCCACCGTTGTACTTGATGGAGTTGGTACTGTTCCGGCTGTCGAAATGAAAAAAAATTTCACAAATACATAAAAAAAAATTTCTAAACAAAAAATAATATTAAAAAAAAATAAATGTATTTAAAAATAAAAAAAATATATTTAAAAACGGAAACTTGAATAATTAAAAATAAAATCATTCGTTAATTAAATATGACAAATTATTTTCTCTCTTTTTCAAAAGTGAAGAATTAAATAAATAATTAAAAAATGAATTAAATAAAAAATTAAATGAAAAATTAAATAAAGAACCAAATAAAGAATCGAATATAAAATTAAATATAGAAACAAATAAAGAATCAAATATAAAATCAGAGGAATATAAAATTAAATATAGAACGATACAAATAGATCAAAACGATAAATGTACAGATACGAAACATAAAGTCAGTTACCATAATAATTAGATATAAATGATTTTGTAATTTGCTTTACATGATATTATTAAATTTTATTTTTTTCAACAAAGAGAGATTTCAAATAAAATTATATTTGTCGACTTGATGAATTCTTTAGACTCTTTAGAGAAGCAATTATTGTTAAACAGTCAAATATTAAGCAATGAAATTCTGAGATGATAATACAAAAATAACTCATATTTTGAAAGGAATTGTATATATATATAGTTTAAATATTTATAAATACAAACCTGACGAACTAACTGTGAGATTTAGTGGAGTATTAATTAATTGATTATTAGTTAATCTTGCCATTCCTTGAAGACCAGCCGCCAATGATGCTACTTGAGGTAAATTTTGTAAATTAGCCAAATTTTGATGATTCAAAAGAGTCACCATGTCAGCCACTGTAATTAGAACATTTTTCTTTTTTCACTCAATAAAAAATAAATATATTTTAGAATTTGTTAAGATTCAAAATAAAAAAAAAAGTGAAATTTAATTTTTTCTCATATAAAACAAAAAAAAAAAATGAATTTACTTGTGCCATTGAGATGAGCTTGAGCTGCACGTTTTACATGGTCCAAATTTTCCGGAGAAGGACTTCGTCGTCTTTTCCTTTTCATCCCTTCCAAAATCATTTGATGTTCTTGTAAAGTAACTGAGGCTGGCTCTGGACTTCCATTACTACTTCTGTCACTCTCCTAGAACAGAATATGAAAAATGTTAAAATTATAAATATTTTTTATAGTTAATTTTTAATTTTATAAAAAAATATAATCTTGCGATTATATTGAAAAAAAAAATGGAGAAAATAATTATCAATTTCATTTTCTTTAATTTACGTGTCTAAAAAAAAAACGATCGAGCATCGAAACATTAACATGAGTGCATGGTTAACGTATGTGTCGCCTTTTTATTGCGAATATTGAATTTAACGTTGAAAATTGATTAATATTCATTTACGACACTCGTTGGCGGAATTGTCGGATTTTGAAATGCGAAAATGGCAAAAGTGGAATGAGCATTGATAGAAATTTAATAATTTTTACCAACAAAAATTTCACATAGAAATTGCATTTTTGCCCGTCAAGATGAAAAAAAGAACACGTTTCAATGAATTGCATATTTTATCTTTTATCGACGCTTTATGCCCTGATTTAATTGCAAAAAAAAAATAAGGCAGGTTTTATTTTTCATTTGAATTTAAAAAAAAAATTTATTTTTTAAATATTCTCGTAATATCGTTAAATATTAAAGAAAATCTTTAATAATTAGAAATAAAATAAAAGTTTAGAAATGAAAAATATTTAATACATTTATTTTTAAATTATTAAAAAAAGTTTCAGGTGAAAAAGAATATTTTTTTTTCCCAAAGAAATAAAATGGTAATAAATTAAACACGGGGCAAAAAAAAAAAAAAAAAAAACTAGTAACGAACTATGTGTTTGTAGAAATGTAAAAAAAATCACCTCGTGTGGTCCTCTTTTTTTTCATGTGGAGCGGGGGTTGGTTGATTAAAATTGAAGGGCGATTTTTCGGGGAAATCGCAGGACATTTGGGGATTACAAGAGTGGTGGCGCTTTGTCGTATAAAAAATAGGTAAAAAGCGCGGTACAAACGACAATCGCCTCCATCGGAGAAATGCGGTTCAATTTTTTTTCGCGTAAATTCGTAAATACGCCCGGTAGGCAGACTATGCATTCACCCATATACATACGGTATAGCAACCGCAGTCAAGGGGATTAGCGAAACACGCGAGCCTCGGTGATTTTGCTTATAAAAGTGCCGAGAATAATGTGTTATCTCTTCACTCGAGAACATGTCAATAATTTCTCCCCCGCTCAAAAAAAAGGAAAAAAAAAAATTATTTTTCTAATAACACTCGCAAAAGTTAAAAGTATTTTTTTTCAGTAGTCAGACAAAAATGTTTATATTTTCGAATTTTTATGAGTAGTAAATAACAATTTTAGTGAGACAGAAAATTTAAAATTCTTCTATTTTGGTTATCAGTAGTGTAAAGACAGTTTTAGTCAGACTAAACGTTTTAGATTTTTTTACAAATTAATATATTTTTAGTAGATAATTTTAGTTTTTAGTAGAAAAAGGAAATTTAGGCAGACAATTTTTCTGATGTTACACTTTTTATTAATTTTGTATTAGTAGTCGTAGACAGTTTTAGTCGGGCAAAAAAATTTATTACACTGAGAAAAAAATTCGTTTGAAGCAACCAAATTTTGGTTAAATCAACAAAATAAATGCATTGATATACAATTAACCAAACATTTGGTTGCATAAACCAAATGTTTATTTAGCTCAATCAAATTTTTTCTTTGTTCAAAAAATTTTTTAAAATAAACCAAACAGTTATTTAGATCAAATAAATATTTATTTGAATTAAACAAATTTTGTTTGAACTAACCTAAAAATTGGGTTAAATATAAAAAAATGGTACATTTGGTTCAAACATATCTTTTTTCTGAGTGTAGTAAATGTAAGTTTCAGTCAGACAAAATTTTTACGAATTATAATTTTTAAAAAAGTCGTATAGTTTTAGTCAGACAAAATTTTACTGAATGCTAACTTTGATAAAAGTAGTAAAAAACAGTTTCAGCAAACAAATTCTTTCAGTATTTGTTTCAGTAGTAAATGTTAGTTTCAACCAGAAAATATTTTTCCGAATCCTAATTTTAATTTTAGTAGTAAAGGCCAGTTTCAACAAGACAAAAATCTAACGAATTTTTCCAGTTTTGGTATTAGTAGTAAATGTCAGTATCAGTCAGACAAATTTTTTCCAAATTCAAATTTGTTAAAAAAGTAGTAAAACATAATTTTAGTCAGACAAAATTTTACTGAATGCTAACTTTGATATAAGTAGTAAAAAACAGTTTCTGCGAACAAATTCTATCAGTATTTGTTTCAGTAGTAAATGTTAGTTTCAACCAGAAAATATTTTTCCAAATCCTAATTTTAATTTTAGTAGTAAAGGCCAGTTTCAACAAGACAAAAATCTAACGAATTTTTCCAGTTTTTGTATTAGTAGTAAATGTCAGTATCAGTCAGACAAAATTTTTCCAAATTCAAATTTGTTAAAAAAGTAGTAAAACATAATTTTAGTCAGACAAAATTTTTCCGAATCTTAATTTTAATTTTAGTAGTAAAGGCCAGTTTCAACAAGACAAAAATCTAACGAATTTTCCCAGTTTTGGTATTAGTAGTAAACGTCAGTATTGGTCAGACAAATTTTTTCCAAATTATAATTTATTGAAAAAGTAGTAAAACATAATTTTAGTCAGACAAAATTTTTTCAAATCCTAATTTTCATAACAGTAGTAAATTCTAAAACAAAAAACTAATTTAAATTAGTAATCATTTTTACTAATTCAGATTTAGAGAGTACAAGAAAATTTTAGCCAGACAAAAATTTTCCAAAACAAATAATAAATAACATTATCAGGAAAAAAATTTAAGAAATAAATTATCACCTTTTATCTCTAAGTTAGGAAAAATTGGTAACCAAAAAAAAAAAAGAGTTAAAATTCACATTTACCAAAAAAAAAAAAGGAGGGACGACTAATAAAAAAGGAAGAAAAGTACAGATTCGAAAATATAGAAATAAACATTGCTTATCGACTTGGGCACATTTTTTTTTAGCATTGCGATATTCTCGTTTGGCGATCGCGCAAAAACGCAAGTTTTTTGCAATAAAGTCATTTAACCCCCGCCGTTGAGTTATAACTCGCGCGCATATATGTGGAGGGTTTTTGCTCTCGTTGCTTTGGGTTCCGTCCATTGATTAGTATTAATGACTTACTGCACTCATTTCGTCCGAATAAAAGTAATTGGATTTGGCGCTTCGGCCTCGAATCGTTGCCGCCACTAGCAACCGATATGCGCCCTGAAACTCCCTCCCCCCTTCAAAAAAAAAAAAAAAAAAAAAAAAAACACAAAAAAACAAAACGACGCGCGTGTAAAAATACATTAATATCTGTTTGCGCTTAATAAACGATAGAAGTGCACGCGTTTTTGAATTTTTGGACTAATGGCTCAGAATATAGCCTGATATAAATGTATATCTACGCATTTTTTTTATATACGATAATCTACGTACTTCTTTCACCCCTCCCCCCTCTGGTGTACCATTAACTCATTCCCTTTCAGTTACAATATCATTTTTAGATTTGGGTCGTCATCGTTTATGTTTACTGCCAATTTTACAATAACCATTATTAAAATTTTTCGTAAAATTCAGAATTCTTTTTTTTTTAATTTCTTTTGTTTGTTTTAGAATATAGTATAAATTTTCTTGATCCCTAATATATTTTTTTTATATTTTTCATTATAAATTAAAATATTGAAGCATTATTTTCATTAAAAGTATTTTTTTTGCCTCATTCCGATTGTTCATATAAATTCCAATGTCAATAACAATGTTTGCCTCTGATATTGCGATGAAAAATGTTATGAATGAATAAATAAATGAACGTTGGTCAGTTGTAAATATACTGATGCATAACGCTTGATTCAATTATGAAATTGATCTGGGTTATTACGAAATACCAGTTCTATTTGTAAATTTTCAAAATCACATTGTAATTATACTCAAGTTAAACAAGTTGTTAGTTATATAAAATTTATCATTGTTAAATTTACTGATTAAAATTTTCAAATTTATTCTCAATTGGACAGAAAAAAAAAGAGTTTAAATAATATATTCACTCTAATTCAAATATAATTTTGATACAAATGATAATAATAATTATAATTAATTAAATTATAATAACTCATTTCTAGTAAAGAAAAATGGTTTTTAAAAAAATTAATTTACGAATATTAAAATTATGTTAATATTAACAACATTTTTTTTCAAGTACAAAATTTGCGGATTTTTAAAAAATTGTAAATACTCATTATCATAATAATTTGTATAGCACAGGGTCTTTAATGAATTGAGGTACTTGTGTGCTTTTAATTATTTGTCTAATTTTATTGCCTCTTGTTGCTCATTATTTTCAGGCTGAAAGAAAAGTTAATTGGAATTGGAGTTTCATTATATATAAACATATTACAAGACAGTTTTTTTTTTTTGATCTGAAAAGTGAGATTTGAAAAAATTATTTTTATGACAGAATGAGAAACGATTGCAGACGCCTATTTTGCTAAGCGAAGAAGATTGTAAACAAGCACATTGTATTCAGAATATAAACAAGCTAATTCGTTCCGACACATCGGGATTCGTTGAGGCAATAAAAGCTTAGATAAAAGCGCAGACCGTGGACGATGCACGGGTACGTCGAAATCGCGCCATATAAAGTATTCCTGAGGAGATTATCATTCGTACGTTTTCATTTTTATAGCTCTATTTATCCTTATCTGTCCAGATGCGTACGAACAAAAAAAAAAAAATATTTTTATCCTTTCTGATTTTTTTTTTTATCATCAAAACTTGAATTACTAATTGCAAGTATAAAATTATATACTTATTTGCAATTTTGTTTTGCAAAGAGAAAATTTAATTACAATTTTTATAATATATTATATTTTGTATAGTAAATAATTTTTTTTATGACCTTAAATGAAATTTAAAAATATTTTCTCTAAACAAAATTTCTTTTAATAAAAGAAATACATATGCATTTTAAATAATGTTTATTTATTTTTATTTTCTACAAATAATATATAAAAACATACATTTCTTCCGACC